AAACCGAAGGACTATTATGTAGTGGACATTGTCAAGAAAGACACTAATTGCTGTGCCATTATTTTGGAGCCAAATGAAGTAGCAGAATTAAAGGTGTTGAAGGGGCCATTCGAAGAGAAAGCGTAGATCAGCTTGTATCAGGTTTAGGAGCCTGTGCCATAATGAGGCCGAAAAAAACCCTCAATTGTTATTATCTTGAATAAAGCTATTTGGCAATTGTGCATTTTCCATGCCAATTGAATTCTTTAAAATATATTAAATTTTGAACCACATTTTAATCTTTTCCATGAGAGTTTCAAACTATTTATTTATTTATATCAAATGGCAGGCGTCTTGATGGTTATCATTAGCCCCGATATTAGTCTAATATTACTTGTACTGCTATTTTCACAAACATGCTAATGCCTGGCCAATATGTTATTAGTGTGTGAGGAACACAACACTAATATGTTGGATCTGACGGATGATGGAATTGGTCCCATTAGGGAGGAAATGAGGTCACGAGGACATAAGCATTTCAGTCAATCAACAATCGCTTGTCACGGTATTGTCAACGTTGGCAAAATCGTATATCATGACTGAGCTCCGTGTCACTTACATGCAACACAAATTAAAAACTTATTCCACATCAAACCCCTGTCTCCTCTATATCGTTGAGATGGAGTAGTTAATACCACGATCCACTTCCAAATTTGATCATCTAGCCTTACAGTTTGCCGTGCATAATTCAAGCCTTTTTTGATTTACAATTCCCCACCTCAGTCCGTTTACTTCACAGATCTTAAATCATTGGTAGTGATTGATAGATGTGATGAGCTATTTTCTTATAAAATTGCAAGTGTCATATCTTGATGGTTATGTTTGATGGTCAATGTAAAATATCAGTGGTGGTAAACCCAAATTTACAGGTTATAAAAGCCTTGTTTGAATTTTGTGTCAAATGAATAAACGTGATTGCCTAAAGTATTGTTAATTGAAAGTTCCTGGTAGTGTTAGATAAGTGTATCGAATCTTCCTATCTCACTGATTCTAAACTTTGGTAATGCAATTTCGAGCTATTCAAGCGTATATGTCGGTCGAACTATTTAGACAGCATGAGCGTTTGAAACTTTACGCAAAAATAGAGAATAGAGTTCTGCAAAATATGTATTACTTTCATTGTCAATTCCATAAGTTCAATCAAGGGTCCAAGGAAGGGATTGTAGACATAAAGCACTATCACAGTCCAGATTTGATCCGTATTTCTTTTCAGTCATTCCTTAATTAATATAGAGAGTTTCTTTATTTATGTAACGTGTTGTAAATACAAGTTAAAGACCTAAATGACCCAGGTATATGAAAGAACCAAATAAAGAAAGTTGTCATTTGGCTTACAAATCTTAGCTAATTTTATTCGTACTTAGTAAAAGACAATTAATGAGGTAAGTAGAATTCTGCAATTAATGCTTCGACGATTGGAGCGCAAATTTCATTTTTTTAATTTTGAGATGTCGCATTTTTATAATTTACAGAAGTAAAATGGATGGAATGTAAAGACCGGAGGTAATGTTGTAATTTGAAATTTGTGAAATGTAAAGAACACATTTGCCTTAGAATGCCTTTTCTTATTGCATATCGTATAATTAATAAATTAGTGTACAAAATACAGTATATATGTACGTGTGCACATGGAAACTAATAACAAAAATTTTTTGAATATAAATTGAATGTTAACTTATTACTTTTAGAACTTTGAATTATCACTATAAATAATCCATATTCGGAAATTCTGCCATCTGATGACGGAACCTGATTTGTAGGTAATTTGATTTTTACGTTAATATAACTAAGCCATGCCTAACCGAAAGGATGGATTTAGTCTAGGCAGTAAAAGATCATTTCCGTGTTCATAAAAATTGCATAAAAGTTGGCGCTGTCTTGAGGAAAATGAAATATTGAGAGTACATTTTATGATGAATCATTTTTCAACTTTATGAAAAAACATTAGATAGCAATGATACTATTAATCGATTTAAGCAAAATATGTAGTTTTCAGCATCGTTTTATTCCAAAAACATACAATTTTTAAATGTAATAACTTAAAAAATTTTGGACAATCATAAGAAAATCGCATTACCCTCCCTTTTTAAAAATGACGACCGCACAGTGCTATGAATTGCACGACAGAGAGCCGGTTTGTGATATTCAAAGGGATTTGCATTACTATTGGCAAAATTCATATTTTTAAAAGTTATTTGGTTTAGCAACTCAACTTTGAAAAATAAGGGCGAGTATAAGCATTTCATTATGCTTGGCTATTATTAATTTGCACATTGAAATTAAAATCTCTTAACAAATACGTGAATTTAAAACATATATGTTCAGCTAGAGAATGGTATGTAAATTAATGCAATAAAAAATATTCAAAAGCAAATATGCTTTATCTCATATTATACAGTTTAATAATGAAAAATATACTCAAATCAATATAGTGACATTAAATTTAAAAAGTTTTGTTTCTCGCATATAATAAAAACATAGATTTTGACTGTTAATATTCTGTCTATTTATTTTTCATTCCATAATGACTTATGAGAACAGCACTTGTTTTTAATTTTCAAATAAAATCGTAAACAAACTGGCATGTAAAGTGCACAATAACGTTGATTAAAATCAAAATGTAAACGACTTATTAAAATAACAATTGTAAAATGCTGCGAAGTTCCAGTAGCCTTAGAAAAACACTTTCTTAATGCCGCGGTATTGGTGGGGAGCCAGCTAGTGATCGTTCAACTTTTGACGATGTCGTCTTCGAAGACTTCTAACACTTATAATCGTCAAAATTGGGAAGATTCGGCAAGTTTTTTGCCTTGATATTAAAAATTTCATTCTCATTATGTTTAAAATGCCTTCATTTGCATCTTTGTAATATTTTAATAGGCGTTTATCATCATTTTTAGGACTTTCCAATTCTTTGTCAGACATGTTTGGGACCTAGTCCCTTTCTCCGTATGATGAAAGAGCGCTACGGAAAGGAGTGCAAAATTTGTTCTCGTCCGTTTACGGTTTTTCGTTGGTGTCCTGGGCCCAAAGCTCGGTTTAAGAAGACTGAGATTTGCCAAACATGTGCAAAAGTGAAGAATGTGTGTCAAACTTGCATCTTCGATTTAGAATATGGTCTTCCTGTGGAAGTGCGAGATAAAGCTCTCAGAATCAGCCAGCAACTTCCTCGAAGCGAGGTTAATCGTGAATACTTTCATCAGCAAGTTGAGCAACAATTGGAAGCATCTGGTGATGTCACAGCTCCCTATGGAGGTCATGAATTAATCGGTAAAGCTGTTGCCGGTAGTAATGTTGCTACAGGTAGCTCTGGAGCAGATCTGTTGCTCAAGTTAGCTCGAACTGCTCCTTACTACAGACGCAATCGTGCCCACATTTGCTCATTCTGGGTAAAGGGCGAGTGTCGTCGTGGTGAGGAATGTCCCTACAGACATGAAAAGCCAACCGATCCAGACGACCCGCTTTCAGACCAGAATCTCCGTGATCGCTACTACGGTAACGACGATCCCGTTGCCGCCAAATTGCTGTCAAAATCTCGTGCCATGCCAACGTTGACTCCCCCAGAAGATCGCACTATAACAACTCTCTACATCGGTGGTGTTTCAGAGGATATTACAGAGCAAGATTTGAGCGATCACTTCTATCAATTTGGTGAACTGCGCTCTGTTAGTGTACACTATAAACAGCACTGTGCTTTCCTACAATTCACTACGCGAGAAGCAGCGGAAAAGGCAGCAGATAGGAGTTACGATCGTCTCATTTTGAAGGGGCACCGATTAACTGTCAATTGGGGCAAATCGCCGGCTGCTTTGGCAGCAGCGAATGCGGGAATAAGTATTAAAGGAGCGGCAGGAAATGAGCTCCTTCCACCTGTACCCGGTCTCCCTCTGCCTCCTGCACCACCACCGTCTTCTATTATGTCTATGGCTGGTCCATCAACATCATTCTTCCCGACGATGCCCCCTCCAGCTGCTATGGCTGGACCAAGTGGACCGTTCTTTGCGCCTCCTCCACCCCCACCCCTGCCGGCACCTCTTGTTCAACTTGCTGCACCTGTTGTTGATCCAAGTGGTATGTTGCTTAATAACCTGTCGAAATGTTTTGCATATATTGACGTCATGAAAACTTGTATTATTGATATCTAGATCTACTAGACCTACTTTGACTTTTTCAAATGCGTACCTTATAAGTATTGAGAGATTGGATTTTCTATCTAGAAACTGCAGGGTCGCTCATACTATATATCCATTGACACTTTCTACGCATTTTGAGATTGAAGATCTTTGCAAGACCTTGTCAGCACTTCTTTGTCAATTGTCGCTTAATAACCATAATGAACTTTGGATTAAAACTTAAACTCGTGTTTTTAATGAAGGAACGTGTGATAGGATATTATTATGAACTTGTTACACACGATTCTTTTTTTTATTTCCTTTTGAAGCACTTTTAAACGGTGTTTTTTGTTTTGTTTTTATCAGGTTTCATGGTAGGCCCTCCCCCGCCACCTCTTCTCTCAACACCAATAGTCCCACCGCCACCCCCGTTGCTACATCAACAACCATCTAAGCAAGAAGCTGGAGGAATTGAAAAGACTGATGATGAGAAAAATTCGGAGAAGAAGGACTCGTCATCGTCAGTCAGACCAGTTCTGTTGGAACAACCACCATCAACTTCATCGGATGCAGGTGCTTCAAAACCGAGCACCAGCAGCGCCAGCAGTACTACTCAGGAACAGGAACTACTGCCGCAGTCTACTGGAATTGCACAGGACTTGCCCACTCTAGGTATTCACTATCCTAGTCAGAATCCGCAACGCATGGGGAGCGTACCACAATCGCAAATGCATATGTGAAGAACTACTGCAATTTTGTGTTTATCAGTTAGTGGTATTTACTAAAGCGAATGCCATTTTAATCTTTTTAAATCTGCTTTTGAATCTGTCGATTTAATCACTATATAGGTCTGGAAGTAGTATGTCAATGTTAAACGTATTTTGGGTTGCTTAAACCAGGTATAGTGGTGATTTAGGCGGCATAACTGTCAGTATGCCATTTTGCCAACTCATTCTTCTTCACTCAGTAGTCGAGTAATCAAATACTTTTATCAATTAGTAATATCTATCTTCCAAAAATTGATGACATTTTCGTCCAATATCTCTGGGAATTTTTTTCTGCCGCACCAACACCCTTGAAACATTCCTGTTTATAGTATTCATCGGTTTCACCAACTGGAGTTGAACCACAGCTTACATTATTCTCCGTTTTGAATTCTTCAGTACTTATCTCTAGGTTACTTACTCTTCAATGAGGGTTGACAATTTCATATTTTGCGTTTACAAAAAATCGTGTCTTTAATCATCTAAAGTAATCTTTATCACCGCTGTATCGATCGAGAATAAAAGTTTGGTAGTGTTAATGGGTGGGTGGGGTGATTTGCTCGAGAATGTAATTGAATTAGTTTTATTTGCTGTTGGCAATAGTGCTTCCAGTCGAACTGATGTAGCAATTACCGTGGTATTGTCTTCAAATTTGGCATTTAATAAACCTTAATAGCGGCTGTCGAGGTGAGAACGACCAACAATGAGTGACTGTTAGGGACCAATGGGGTATTTTAAGATATAAACCAATTTGTAGCTCCTAATGACATCATAGAAATAGCCCCCTTTTGAATATATAATAATACCAAATGAATAATAATACAGTTAAATGCATATTCTCCCCCCTCAATCTTCAAGTTGAGTCAAAATGAAGTTCAGGCTTATTTCCTCTCCTTTGGAAATACGTCTTAATTTACCATATATGTACATACTACTTAATTACTACTAAGTAGGAATAAATTTAATAAAATCGGCGCAATGCTCTTGGCCATAACATCTAGACAAAACATGTGATGAAAAAGTGTTTTCTACATGATTCTCTAAAGTACTAAGTTGAATCTCTGGAATGTTTCCAGTGTTGCAGAAAAGAGTAGAATTACCGACATAATCGATATTGAGTTTTTATTGAATCACAAATGTTAATCAAGCAAAATGAGCATAATTTTTGTCCCTCCCGAAACAAGCGTGACTGTGCCACATTAATATTTTGCTGCTAACAGCAAAATTAGAAAGTGATAGAAAGCATAATTCTTTTCAATATTAAGGTAAATATTAGACAAGAGATAACTCCATGAAATTGAAAAAAAGTCAAGGATTTTTAAAACGAGTCATTTGATTTGCTTTTCAAAATCGATCAGTTTCAATACGTACACATGCCAACTGAATATGCATGAATGGTTGTGGCGCGTGAAGCATGTATAATACAAACGTGCGTTGAATTCCATAAGTTCATTTTGGCAATTTTACAAAAATCAGGATTCGATAATAATGATGGCTAAGATGAGCTGAGCTTAACAGAACTCTACACTTCATATTAAATCATTCTCAGAGATGAATAAAAGACTTCCATGAAAATTTCACTTGATATTAGTGAAATATGTAAATGAACAAAAATACAGTCTGGATACACGTCGGTTTAGATTTTGAACAACCATATCTCTATAAACACACGTGTTTGTTAGCTTAGAGGCTAAGAAACTGCTAGTGGTGCTCAGACTAATTCGAACATCAAAAGAATTTTAGCTCAAAGACCGCTCAAAACATTCGTCTGGATTGTGCTTTGTAAACTACAGATTCTTCGTAACATTTGCACGATATAAAACTCTACACTTATATGGCGAACAACAACTGAGCGTTTAAGAGCTGGTGTAAGTATTAAGTCGAAACTACAGAATAATGAAATCAATCTCTGAGCAACGCATTAGATTTTAAACAGTCCTCACTTTAAAAAGGTATTCGTGAATCATACGCAGAAAATACATAATTCAATAATTTATTTATATTAAATGGCAGGCTTTATAATAGTTATCATTAGCCCTTTAATTGACTTCGGGATTCACAGAGGGGAGGAACGGACAAAGTCACAGAAAGCGGTGAAGGGGAACAGAAGAGTGATTCACGGATGTAGGCGAGACAGATACAAAGGTAGGGACAAAGGTGAGGTGAGTACTGTGAAAGGGGTCGAAGATGACATACAGCGGGGTCATGGTAGTTAGAAGTCAGAAGTCAACTGCCGTATGAGTATACGTTGCTCAGGGTGCACCACATGGAGGTAAGTCTATCGCACACTCCATAATTTAAATATAATGTGCTGCTTTGATCTATCTCATGCCTTAATACTGTGTGAGAATTCGATGCTTGAAACGTTCAATTGGGAATGTCAAAATGTTTCAGTGGTCTATTATGAAAATCTTTGTTGTTTCAATTATGCCGTTTGCAAACTATATCTCAATTCGTGGCACTGCTTGAGGAAATAACGCGATTTTAAATTTATTTTCAAAGTTATTCATCTTTTTTAGCCGACGCTATAAAATCCTTTATCAACTGCAATCAGCCAATTTAAACCACATTATTTGTTAAAATGAAGTGTTTTACAACTGAACTAGTCCCATGATGCGAAATATATGTTGTTAACTATCCCTAATTTAGCAAGTGATTGATTAAACAAAGATACGTGACAATTTCGAATCTCATTGGCTGCAATTCAAATCACATTGCTCTTCATTGTATATATTACTGCTTTTTCCACAAACCTTCAAATTCAACTTGCAAGTAACCAAGCAGACTGACAAATGTACGCTGACCAATCGGATTCTATGAGTATTGAAAGTATCGAGGAGCGACCCCACTTCTGCTCCTCTAGTCGAGGCTCATGGCCTCGGCCTTATATTTAATGTTTCCATGTCGGAAACATCAAGCATCGTATCCAGTCAATATGAAATTTCCGACTATGGTGGTAACTGCGTCAATAGCTCCCAAGGGAAACCGTACCGAGTGGATATATTAGAAGTAGATGATCTTAACTCCTTAATATCAATGAGAGCAATTCTAGGAGCAGAGAGTAAACGGATTAATAGTCACTGGTTGATAGTCTCCTTGAGAGATAGCACCACTGCTATACTATTTCCTCCACGGAAAACGCAGTATTTATCACACTCTGGATTTACCACCTGTCTTGAATGGTTGGAGGAGGACGGTGTCAGTCAGGTTCTGATCGCAATCCCTCGAGGTGACTCGCAATTGTTTAAGACTTTTCTCTTTCTGGGCTGCTCCAAACTCCCTGAGATGGTCGCAGAAAATGAACTTCCCATTTGGTGTAGTAGATACGTAATTCTATGCACCGACTTGTCGTAACTGTGATGTGATGCTTAATAAAGTTGCTATGGAAAAAAAGTAAAAGAATAAAAAATATATAATCTTTTTTTGAGATTGATGAATACTTCTTTGTGGTTTTTATAATTGGTTAGCGTTTTGATCCCACAAACTAACTTTCTGATATTTATCAAATGGCAGGCTTTATAATAGTTATCATCAGCCTTTAGTTGACTTCGGGATTCACAGAGGAGAGGAACAGACAAAGTCACAAAAAAGTGGTGAGAGGGAATAGAAGAATGATTCACGGATATAAGGGAGATAGACAGACACAGGTAAGATGAGTACTGTGGAGTTGGTAGAATACGACATACAGTGGGGTCATGGTAGTTAGAAGTCAGAAGTCAACTGCCGCTTAATAGTCCTTTTTGCCGTATTATTGAACGTTGTCCATGGTGCACCACGTGGAGGTAAGTCTATCGCGCACCCCCATTTGATTATATAATGGTGTAAATCCCCATTGCGATATGTCTCAGGCCTGGGTAGAGAAAATGGAACTAAAGCAACCGCACTTCATTTTTAAAAATCTTCCTATAGCCTATTGAGAGAAGTGTGGCCACCAGTTGAGTAAACGCACTTACTTCCTTCAGCCGATCATTTCCCGTACTGATCAAAATTAACCATCGAGGTTATCAAATCGCGTCACTGGATGTGTTCGGACGCGCAACGATCTGCCAAACACTGAGTTGGCAGATGTAGGCATATTTATTACAATTGACCTACCTTCTGCACAGCTTTCGTAATACTGAAAAGATTGAACTTTACCTGCTACTGTATCAAGTATTTTACATAATGTGATCCTATAAATTCACACTAGTTCCATTTTGAGCGATCATCAACCATGCAATTTAAAGTTAAACCACTGTGCATAATATGGACAAATCCACGGTTCACATTGAAAAGTATATTACTTATCCTTCTTTTGAGGAAAAAAACAAAAAATAGCTTAATTCAATAATCAATGCGCCAACATTTTCCAAGTGGATTCTCGTATTTATCTGTTAACTCTGACCATCCATTTCATCCTTCCCAAAAAAACAAACGTGAAATAAAATCTCATGTTCTAATCTTTATATCATCCCCTTCTTAGAAAGAGTTCGAAGTTGAATGGTTCATTCACTTTTTTGATGAGCGAATTTAATTAGAACACCAATTTTTTTTTGCATGAATTGAAGTGAAAATCATTTCGATTTTCCTATTTTCAATAATTCCTTGATATTCCCCCCCCCCCTCCCCCAACCACTCTACAAGCATGTACACGATTCGTTTGAGACAGGTAGACAGACAGAAAGGTGCTTTAATCTTTCTAGAATACCGTCAAAGTAACCTGTTTTGGTAAAATCTTCAATCTCGAGATAAAAACTATTTAAGCGACACTAGGCCACTACCTCATGCCCCCCCCCCTCCCCCC